GTAGTTCGCAATTGTGTCGCAATCTATCGTATCTTCATCGCTGTAGGTCGCCTCCGGACCGCTGTAGATCGTATCCGGGTCGCAGTAGATCGTGTGTTTTTTTCGCTGCCGATCGTGTTTTGATCGCTGCAGGGCGCTTGCGGCGGTGAGATGTTGACGATGGAGGTGTGTACTTCCGGCCATACTGAAGCTTGGCCGGTGGCTTGCAGTCTTGTGCGATGTGACCGAGCCCGCCGCACCTCAGGCACATGGATGTTCGGGCCCTTGTGCCACTCTTTGTCCCGTGGTAGGCGCGTGCACATGGAGGAGGAGGAGGAGGAGGAGGAGGAGGAGGAGGAGGAGGAGGAGGGTCGGAGGAGGAGGAGAGGAGGCGGCGGAGGGAGGAGGAGGCGGAGGAGGAGGCGGAGGAGGAGAGGATGACCTGGACAGGCGTTGGAAAAACAAATTATCCCAGTGCGACCCTACCTAGGAGTTGGAGCCTCTAGGGAAAGCAACATTAGTAGGAGCGGTAAACGCCGTCCTCCTCTTCTCCTCATCGTCGTTAGTGGTAGCAGTAGCGGTAGTAGTAGTTAGTAGTAGTAGTAGTAGTAGTCGTAGTAGTAGTAGTTAGTAGTACTAAGTAGTAGTACTAGTACTAGTACTAGTAATAGTACTAGTAGTACTAGTAGTACTTAGTAAGTAGTACTAGGAGTAGTACTAGTAGTATTAGTATCTACTACTACTACTAGTACTATTAGTAGTAGTAGATGTAGTAGTAGTAGTAGTAGTAGTAGTTTGTAATAGTCAAGAGCGTAGTAGTCGTTATGTAGTAGTAAGTAGTAAGTAGTAGTAGTAGTTAGTAGTAGTAGTGTAGTAGGTGTGATAGTAAAGTTAGTAGCAGTAGTCGTCGTAGTCACCAGCCAGTAGGAGTAGTGAGTAGAATGTAGTAAGTAGGAGTAGTAGTAGTAGTAGTAGTCGTAGTAGTCGTAGTAAGGAGCAGTAGAGTAGTAGTACTAGTAGTTAGTAGTGAGTAGTAGTAGTAGTACATTAGTATTAGTAGTAGTAGTAGTAGTAGTCGTAGTCGTGAGTAGTCGTAATCGTAGTAGTAGTAGTAGTATTAGTAGTAGTAGTAGTGGTGGTGGTGGTGGTGGTGGTGGTGGTGGTGGTGGTGGGTGGTGGGTGGTGGTGGTGGTGGTGGTGGTGGTGGTGGTGGTAGTAGTAGTAGTAGTAGCGCCAGAACCGCCGACGCCACGCCGTAAGTGAAGCAGCAGCAGAAGCAGGCAGCAAGTCGCCGAGACAGCCGCAAAAGCAAGCAGGCACGGAGATGACATATATAGGAAGACATTTTGGACATGCGATAATACGTCGGGTTTCATGTCTCCTGGCCGGTGCTATGTGCGAAACCTTCGTGAATCCTAAGGGTTCAAGCTGTCCCCCTAAGTGCTTAAGATGGCCCACAGACGGACAACATGCATGGAACATACGTGCGCACACACATTAGTACACACACCTACATATATATATATATATATATATATATATATATATAGCAGCAGCAATAGTGGATGCTGCGCTATGCTATTATATGCTCTGCTCTGCTCTGTCATGCTGTGCTATGTTATGCTATGCTATGCTGCGCAATGCTATGCCGGGCTAGGCTAGGCTAGGCTAAGCTATGCTATGCTATGCTATGCTGCGCTATGCTATGTTATGCTGCGCTATGCTATGCTATGCTATGCTTTTGCTTTGCCTTCGCTGTTGCTTTCACTTAAGCCTTTGCTTTTGCTTTTGCTTGGCACCCAGTGAGCGCAACTGGGGGAACCGCATGTTTGCTTTTACCTTTGCTGTTGCTTTTGCTTGGCTCCCAGGGGACCGGGGGAACCGCCCAGGGCGGGTTCCACTGCCCGACCCCTTTAAGCCACGCGAGTAAGAACCCTTCTAGGCAGAGCCTAGGTAGGGAACAAAGAAAACAGCTGAGCTCGGTGGGCCGCGGCCGTGGCCAGCATCCCGTCCAGACTCTTTGCCCCGAGCTGTGCTTGCCCCTGCCGCTGCTGACAAACCTGCGGTCCGTCTCCCTGCGACGGAGGAGCTCACGAGCTTGCTCGAACGATCGCTGGCTTGCTGTGCTGCTGCGAGATCCGTGCCCTCGGGCAGTTCGTGACGTGCTTGTGGATCCTCTCCAGCCTGGTCTCAGATGTCCTGCCCCCCCAGAGCCCTTCCCCCCAACAAAGACCCTCCAGGGGCCCTGCAAGCAGAAAACCTTCGGAGGAGGAGGAGGAGGAGGACGAGGAGGAGGAGGAGGAGGACGAGGAGGAGGAGGAGGGTGGAGGAGGAGGAGGAGGAGGATAGGAGGAGGAGGTCCAGGAGGACCTTTCTTTAAAAAGGCCCCACGAGGGGGGGGGTCCCGAGGTCGCCCGCCGTGCTTCGTCTCGGTCCACGGTGGTGCGTCATCGTCATACAGGTGGCAGCGCCAGGTGGGCGTTGTGCTCGGGTTTGGGGGGGATGTCATTCGTGGACCTCGGAGGAGAGGAGGAGGAGGGACGAGAGGAGGAGAGGAGGAGGAGGAGGAGGACTGCAGCTCGCCGAGAGGAGTCCGGGGGTGCCAGAGGGCACGACGGCCGCAGACCCTCGAGCGGGCGACGAAGATGCATCGGGGGGGGATGGCTCCCAGTGAGCCAGGCCCCCATCCAGTGAGCCAGGCCCCCTACTCTCGTTGGCCCTCAGTCCAGGACAGTGCCCCATGGACGCTCCGCACGTGGCGCATTGCGGGGCGTGGAGCGTGCCTCCAGGCAGCCAGGGGCGGGGGCCCTGCGGGCCGCCCCTCTCCCCGCCCGCCGCCCCGGTCGAGCGTGGCCCTACCCGGGAGCCCCGAGGCTCCTAGGAGCCGCGCGCGCCACCCTTCGGGGCGGCCCTCGGGCCTACAGACCGCGGCCCGCGGATGGTCGACTGCGGGATTCTCCACACGGGGCTGCTCAGGAGCCGACGGCTCGGCCGTGGCTTCGGTCGAATGGGCGCGGCTACTGCAAACACGTGCCGGCCGCTGGACGGCGGACTGAGCTACACGCAGGATCGCCGCGGTGAGCTGCCCACACGTGCTGCTCAGAGTGAAGGCACCGGCCGTGGCCTTCTGGCTCGAATCGCGAACGGCCAGGCAACGTGCCGGCGCTGGACGGTGGCCTGAGCTACACGCAGCTCGCCGCGGGAGGCGCCCACACGGTGCTGCTCAGGAGCGACGGCACGGCCGTGGCCTTCGGCTCGAATCGCGACGGCCAGTGCAACGTGCCGGCGCTGGACGGCGGCCTGAGCTACACGCAGGTCGCCGCGGGACGCTTCCACACGGTGCTGCTCAAGAGCGACGGCACGGCCGTGGCCTTCGGCTGGAATAACGCCGGCCAGTGCAACGTGCCGGCGCTGGACGGTGGCCTGAGCTACACGCAGCTCGCCGCGGGAGGCGCCCACACGGTGCTGCTCAGGAGCGACGGCACGGCCGTGGCCTTCGGCTCGAATCGCGACGGCCAGTGCAACGTGCCGGCGCTGGACGGCGGCCTGAGCTACACGCAGGTCGCCGCGGGAGACTTCCACACGGCGCTGCTCAGGAGCGACGGCACGGCCGTGGCCTTCGGCTCGAATCACGCCGGCCAGTGCAACGTGCCGGCGCTGGACGGCGGCCTGAGCTACACGCAGGTCGCCGCGGGAGGCGCCCACGCGGTGCTGCTCAGGAGCGACGGCACGGCCGTGGCTTTCGGGCTGAATCTCGAGGGCCAGTGCAACGTGCCAGCGCTGGACGGAGCGCTGACGTACACCGCGCGCCCGCTCGTCGGCGCGACGCTGCTTCTGCAGGCGTCGTTTGATGGGGGCGCGGTGCTTGGCATGAAGGGAACGGGTCCCTAGGGGATCGGGTCCTGGACCCCGGGGCCGTGCCCCATGGATCGCATCTTCATCCTGGGCCGTTTTCTGACAGCCCTGGGGCCCGTGGGCGGCCTGGGGAGGCGAGAGTCACAGCGGACAAACTGGAGGACCCGTTCCCTTCCCGGCGAGGTGCGCTTCCTGACCCTGGGCGGGGTGGAGCGCTGCCGGGTGCGGGCGGCGCCCGGCGCGCCGCTCGCTGGCGTGCGCGATTGGCTGGCGGGCGAGCTGGGCGCGGGCAGGCTGGGCCCAGGGCTCGGCCGCGCCGACGCGGCCCTGCCAGGCGGACGGCTCCTGAGCGGGGCTTTGGCGGGCGAGACCGTCGCGCACGCCTTCGGGTTGTAGACATCGGGTCGCCGCCGTGCTTCGTCTTGGGCCCTAGGGCGTCATCCAGGGGCGACGTCAGGTGGGGGTATATTTAGGCTCGGGGGGGATGCTCTCGTGGGTCCTCGGCACTTTCCAGCCTCGGGATGCGTACACCAAGAGCTGCACCTAGCCGAGAGGCGTCCGGGGGTGCCCGGATGGTTCCCGACGGCCGCCGGAGACCCGCGAGCCAGGGGACGAAGATATTTTTGGAGGATAGGCTCAGGGGGGGATGCATCGACCTTCAGTCGCCCATTCCACGCCGACGGGATCCTGGGGTTTCGCTGTCGGGGCCTAGTGCGGATCTCTCCGCGATGTGTCGCCGAGTCCAGGTCGATGTTATCCCCCTCCCGGTCAGCCAGGCCCCCACCCTCGTTGCCCCTCAGCGCAGGAACGTGGGGCTCTTCTGTCGTAGTGCGGATCTCTCCGCGATGTGTCGCCGAGTCCAGGTCGATGTCCCCCCCCCCCCTCTCAGCGAGCCAGGCCCCCACTCTCGTTGCCCCTCAGTCCAGGAACGTGCCCCATGGCCGCTCGCACGTGGCGCATCGCGGGGCGTTGGGGCGGGGGCCCTGTGGGCGGGGGCCCTGTGGGCCGCCCCTCTCCCCGCCCGCCGCCCCGGCTCGAGCCGTGGCCCTCCCCGGAGCCCCGAGCGCTCCCAGGAGCCCGCGCGCGCCCCCCTCGGCGGGCCCTCGGGCCTCTGGACCGCGCCCGCGGATGGTCGCCGCGGGATTCGTCCACACGGTGCTGCTCAGGAGCGACGGCGCGGCCGTGGCCTTCGGGCGGAATGACCGCGGCCAGTGCAACGTGCCGGCGCTGGACGGCGGCCTGAGCTACACGCAGGTCGCCGCGGGATTCTTCCACACGGTGCTGCTCAAGAGCGACGGCACGGCCGTGGCCTTCGGCTCAAATCACGCCGGCCAGTGTAACGTGCCGGCGCTGGATGGCGGCCTGAGCTACACGCAGGTCGCCGCGGGAGGCCTTCACACAGTGCTGCTCAGGAGCGACGGCGCGGCCGTGGCCTTCGGGCGGAATGACCGCGGCCAGTGCAACGTGCCAGCGCTGGACGGTGGCCTGAGCTACACGCAGGTCGCCGCGGGATTCGCCCACACAGTGCTGCTCAAGAGCGACGGCACGACCGTGGCCTTCGGCTTGAATCCCGACGGCCAGTGCAACGTGCCGGCGCTGGACGGTGGCCTGAGCTACACGCAGGTCGCCGCGGGACGCTTCCACACGGTGCTGCTCAAGAGCGACGGCACGGCCGTGGCTTTCGGCTCGAATGACGCCGGCCAGTGCAACGTGCCGGCGCTGGATGGCGGCCTGAGCTACACGCAGGTCGCCGCGGGAGGCGCCCACACGGTGCTGCTCAAGAGCGACGGCACGGCCGTGGCCTTCGGCTCGAATCCCGACGGCCAGTGCAACGTGCCGGCGCTGGATGGCGGCCTGAGCTACACGCAGGTCGCCGCGGGAGGCCTTCACACGGTGCTGCTCAAGAGCGACGGCACGGCCGTGGCCTTCGGCTGGAATCGCGACGGCCAGTGCAACGTGCCGGCGCTGGACGGAGCGCTGACGTACACCGGTCGCCCGCTCGTCGGCGCGACGCTGCTCCTGCAGGCGTCGTTTGACGGGGGCGCGGTGCTTGGCATGAAGGGAACGGGTCCCTAGGGGAACGGGTCCTGGACCCCGGGGCCGTGCCCCATGGATCGCATCTTCATCCTGGGCCGTTTTCTGACAGCCCTGGGGCCCGTGGAGGGCCTGGGGAGGCGAGAGTCACAGCAGAAAACTGGAGGACCCGTTCCCTTCCCGGCGAGGTGCGCTTCCTGACCCTGGGCGGGGTGGAGCGCTGCCGGGTGCGGGCGGCGCCCGGCGCGCCGCTCGCTGGCGTGCGCGATTGGCTGGCGGGCGAGCTGGGCGCGAGCAGGCTGGGCTCGGCCGCGCCGACGCGGCCCTGCCAGGCGGACGGCTCCTGAGCGGGGCTTTGGCGGGCGAGACCGTTGCGCACGCCTTCGGGTTGTAGACATCGGGTCGCCGCCGTGCTTCGTCTTGGGCCCTAGGGCGTCATCCAGGGGCAACGTCAGGTGGGGGTATATTTAGGCTCGGGGGGGATGCTCTCGTGGGTCCTCGGCACTTTCCAGCCTCGGGATGCGTACACCAAGAGCTGCACCTAGCCGAGAGGCGTCCGGGGGTGCCCGGATGGTTCCCGACGGCCGCCGAGGGACGAAGAAAAGAAGAGAGAAAGAAAGGAGAAGGAAGAGGGGAAGGAGGAGAAAGAGAAGAAAGAAGAGAAAGAAAAAAAAGAGGAGAAAAAGAGGAGCGAGGGAGAGGAGGAGAGGGAAGAGAAGAAAGACCCGCGACCCCAAGGGGGGCGAAAGGGGAAAGGGAAAGGGGAAGGAAAGGGAGAACGGGGACGAAGATATTTTTGGAGGATAGGCTCAGGGGGTGATGCATCGACCTTCAGTCGCCCATTCCACGCCGACGGGATCCTGGGGTTTCGCTGTCGGGGCCTAGTGCGGATCTCTCTGCGACGTGTCGCCGAGTCCAGGTCGATGTTATCCCCCTCCCGGTCAGCCAGGCCCCCACCCTCGTTGCCCCTCAGCGCAGGAACGTGGGGCTCTTCTGTCGTAGTGCGGATCTCTCCGCGATGTGTCGCCGAGTCCAGGTCGATGTCCCCCCCCCCCCTCTCAGCGAGCCAGGCCCCCACTCTCGTTGCCCCTCAGTCCAGGAACGTGCCCCATGGCCGCTCGCACGTGGCGCATCGCGGGGCGTTGGAGGTGCCTCCAGGCATCCAGGGGCGGGGGCCCTGTGGGCCGCCCCTCTCCCCGCCCGCCGCCCCGGCTCGAGCCGTGGCCCTCCCCGGAGCCCCGAGCGCTCCCAGGAGCCCGCGCGCGCCCCCCTCGGCGGGCCCTCGGGCCTCCGGACCGCGCCCGCGGATGGTCGCCGCGGGATTCGTCCACACGGTGCTGCTCAGGAGCGACGGCGCGGCCGTGGCCTTCGGGCGGAATGACCGCGGCCAGTGCAACGTGCCGGCGCTGGACGGCGGCCTGAGCTACACGCAGGTCGCCGCGGGATTCTTCCACACGGTGCTGCTCAAGAGCGACGGCACGGCCGTGGCCTTCGGCCAGAATGACTTCGGCCAGTGCAACGCGCCGGCGCTGGACGGTGGCCTGAATTACACGCAGGTCGCCACGGAAAACGCCCACACAGTGCTGCTCAGGAGCGACGGCACGGCCGTGGCTTTCGGCTCGAATCACGCCGGCCAGTGTAACGTGCCGGCGCTGGACGGCGGCCTGAACTACACGCAGGTCGCCGCGGGATTCGCCCACACAGTGCTGCTCAGGAGCGACGGCACGGCCGTGGCCTTCGGCTCGAATCCCGACGGCCAGTGCAACGTGCCGGCGCTGGACGGTGGCCTGAGCTACACGCAGGTCGCCGCGGGAGGCGCCCACACGGTGGTGCTCAAGAGCGACAGCACGGCCGTGGCCTTCGGCTCGAATGACGCCGGCCAGTGCAACGTGCCGGCGCTGGACGGCGGCCTGAGCCACACGCAGGTCGCCGCGGGAGGCCCCCACACGGTGCTGCTCAAGAGCGACGGCACGGCGGTGGCTTTCGGCTCGGATCGCGCCAGCCAGTGCAACGTGCCGGCGCTGGATGGCGGCCTGAATTACACGCAGGTCGCCACGGGAAACGCCCACACAGTGCTGCTCAAGAGCGACGGCACGGCCGTGGCTTTCGGCTCGAATCACGCCGGCCAGTGTAACGTGCCGGCGCTGGACGGCGGCCTGAACTACACGCAGGTCGCCGCGGGATTCGCCCACACAGTGCTGCTCAGGAGCGACGGCACGGCCGTGGCCTTCGGCTCGAATCCCGACGGCCAGTGCAACGTGCCGGCGCTGGACGGTGGCCTGAGCTACACGCAGGTCGCCGCGGGAGACTTCCACACAGTGCTGCTCAGGAGCGACGGCACGGCCGTGGCCTTCGGCTCGAATGGCCGCGGCCAGTGCAACGTGCCGGCGCTGGACGGCGGCCTGAGCTACACGCAGGTCGCCGCGGGAGACTTCCACACAGTGCTGCTCAAGAGCGACGGCGCGGCCGTGGCCTTCGGCTCGAATGACGACGGCCAGTGCAACGTGCCGGCGCTGGACGGCGGCCTGAGCTACACGCAGGTCGCCGCGGGAGAAGCCCACACGGTGCTGCTCAAGAGCGACGGCGCGGCCGTGGCCTTCGGCTCGAATGACGACGGCCAGTGCAACGTGCCGGCGCTGGACGGAGCGCTGACGTACACCGCGCGCGTCGGCGCTACGCTGCTCCTGCAGGCGTCGTTTGACGGGGGTGCGGTGCATGGCATGAAGGGAACGGGTCCCCAGGGGAACGGGTCCTGGACCCCGGGGCCGTCCCCCATGGATCGCATCTTCGTCCTGGGCCGTTTTCTGACAGCCCTGGGGCCCGTGGGCGGCCTGGGGAGGCGAGAGTCACAGCGGACAAACTGGAGGACCCGTTCCCTCCCCGGCGAGGTGCGCTTCCTGACCCTGGGCGGGGTGGAGCGCTGCCGGGTGCGGGCGGCGCCCGGCGCGCCGCTCGCTGGCGTGCGCGACTGGCTGGCGGGCGAGCTGGGTGCGGGCAGGTTGGGCCCAGGGCTCGGCCGCGCCGACGCGGCCCTGCCAGGCGGACGGCTCCTGAGCGGGGCTTTGGCGGGCGAGACCGTCGCGGACGCTTTCGGGTTGTAAACGTCGGGTGGCCCTGTGGAGTGGCGGGGCGCTTCCTCGCCGCGGTGCTTCGTCTTGGGCCCTAGGGCGTCATCCAGGGGCAACGTCAGGTGGGAGTATAATTCGGCTCGGGGGAATGTTATCGTGGGCCTCGACAGGCCTGTGCCAGTAGAAATTCTTCCTATTCTTTCTTCATGGCAATGTTGAGCCTGACCCTGTCAGCGTCGTTGGGCTTCTTGTAGCTCACCTCCACGCACTGACGCATCGCCTGAGTGGCATCATACATGCGAGTGTCCCTCACGAAGCGGCTGAAGGCCTCTTTGGAGGGAGCGGCGATGGACAAGTACCACGGCCTCTTGTCTGCCAGTGGTGATGTCCTGTTCTTCGCTCGTCTTCCTGGTAGAATGCGAATCCCCTTCGGCGCGGTCCCCCTCCTCCTCCTCCTCCTCCTCCTCCTCCTCCTCTCCTCTCCTCCTCCTCCTCCTCCCTTCCCTCCTCCTCCCTCCTACCTCCCTCTCCTCCCTCTCCTCCCTCCCTTCCCCTCCTCCCTCCTCCCTCCTCCCTCCTCCCTCCTCCTCCCTCCTCCTCCTCCTCCTCCCTCCTCCTCCTCCTCCTCCTCCTCCTCCTCTTGGTGCCGGACCTCGGCTTCTGGCGCGGCCCCTCCACCGCCTCGCCGTCTCCTGCCTCGGCTGGTCGTCGCGCCTGTCGTCCCCGGGCCTCCGGTGTCTGGGGGCTGTCGGGGCGGCCCCAGATCCTCCGGCGACGACGACGGCGGCGACGACGGCGACAGGGCTCCGAGATGGCCTCAAGACCCGCGCAGACGTCCCGAAGATGGCTCGACCGAGCCTGTTCCTGGAGAGCTCTGCAGAGCCACCGCGCCGCAGACGGCCCCGAGATCCCGGAGGGGCCACTCCACGGGGCGGACGAGGAGGAAGGATAGAAGGATACAAGGACAGGAGGGAGGAGGAGGAGGAGGAGGAGGAGGAGGCGGAGGAGGAGGAGGAGGAGGGAGGCTCCAGCTAGACTTCCAGGCTGGCATGGATTGGACATGGCTCTTGGACGCTCCCCGGGCCGAGCGACAGGCATACCCTCCTATTGAGCACAAGGGATTCGTGTTCACCCCCCGTCGTTCACCCATCGGCCTCGAGTCAATCTCTGGGCAGCCCGACCCGCCAGCAGCAGAACTACCAGAGCCTGTGCCGATAGAAAAAAGGGGGGAGGAGGATGAGGAGGAGGCGGAGGAGGAGAAATGCAACGCAGCTGAATCCAATGAGGAGGGTGAGGAGGAAGGGGATGAGGAGGTGCCCAAGCATGTCCGTGTTTCACTAAGGATGGGAACTTACAATGCCCTGTCCTTGTACGGGGATTCGGATCCCGACGCTTCGGTGTCTCGCCTCGCCGGCGCGGAGTCGCTCCGGGTTCAGCTCCGCGACTCTGGCTTCCACATTCTGGGAATACAGGAAGCCCGCACGACCGAGGGCACACGTGCGGCAGGAGTCTTCGTCATGATGGCTGGGGGTAGTGACAAGGGTAACCTAGGGTGCGAATTCTGGATCGCCACCGACAGGCCCTACGCGAGGTTAGGTCTCAAGGAGTTCTTCCTCCGTCGCTCTCACCTCCTGGTCCTCCACAAGTCCCCCAGCCTACTTGTCGTCCGTCTCTCCGCCCCCTACTTCCATGCTACGTGCATGGTGGCCCACGCCCTCCATTCCGACCACCCCCTCGAATTCGTTCAGAGATGGTGGAGGGAGGCCACCGCCACGGCGGTCAAGTTTGGTGTCACTTGCTTCCTTGGTGACGTCAACGGCCGTCTCGACCAGTCACCCACCCCATTCTCAGGGTCGTGCGGCTTCGCTCAACCAGTCGATCGAGGGGGATCGAGTTTTTGGAGTTCCTGCACTCTACCCATCTCTTTGCCTCCACCACGCTCCTCCCTCCTTCCTTCCGGGGCCTCTCACACCTGGGTGTCTTCTTCGGGGTCGACGCATCGTATCGATTTTGTTGCCTTGGGGGATACGCTGCACCGGCTGGTCCGTAATCACGGGGTTATCGAAGACTTGGACAGACCACACGATTGCGAGGATCACCTGCCGGTGTGGGTCGATCTCGAGTCGCTCGTTCTTCCCAGGGCCCCCCCACCACCCACATTCTCCCGGAGCGGTCTCAAGGACCCCTCAGCGGTGCAGGATTTCCAGCGAGCTTTGTTGGACCTGCCCTTGCCGGACTGGTCCGTTGATGTCCATGCGCACGATTCGACACTGCGTGAGGTGATTTTGGCACTTGCGCGTAGGTTCTTTCCTCCCAAGCCCTCAGTGCCCATACGCCCATTTGTCAGACCATTAACATTGGAACTGATACGTTGGAGGCGAGCGCTCCGAAGACCACTTCATTCGGATCCCGAGTTGAAGCTGCAAGGTCGGAGGAACCTTGCTACGTCTCTCCTCCACCAATGGTTTTTCTCCCTCCCTGTCTCTCCGCCACCATATGCTGTTGCTCCCCTGGCTGCTTGTGCGATTGCCGCTTCTTCATTCTTGACGGGTGCCTTGCATCCGGCAGAGTTCGAGTCGGCACTGCTCGCAGCTCTGAGGTGTACACGGAAGGCTGTGCGCCAGCTACTCGAGGCAGACAGGTGTGTTTTCTTGGAGGGTTTGGGGGAGCAGGCTGCCCGGGCTGGGCGGGCCCACGATTCGGCCCAGCAGTGGCAGCTCTTTCGCATCTTGCAGCGCTTTGGAGGGGGAGGTAGAAAGGCTACGAGCACTTCCCGGCAGCTGCCGTTTCGCACAGATCCCAAGGGCAACGTCCTCACGTCGCCCCAGGCCATAGCAGCAGATGTTCGTGCAAATTTCGCCGCGTTCGAAACTGCTGAGATTTTGCCGCCCATTGCCCAAGCTCAGAGGCACAACAAAGGGGGGCACGATTTAGGTGCTGGGATTTCCCGTTCTATCCAAAACGTGAT